AAAACCTTCAAGTTTGGGCTCATTTGTTTTATAATGACAAGGCCAAGGAGGTAACACTCCTTTTAGATACTACTAATTAAATTAACTCGATAGAAAACTTAACGTATTGGCATTTACATTTTCTTTCTTTAAGTAAATATGGTCTGCTCTACCGTTACCTCTATCTTCTCCACTCTTTGACGACTTTTATAGAGCTGAAGCTGAATGTCTTGAACATCATAGCAACTTATCTTTTTCATTCTACGTAATGATATCAAATTACAACAAAGTACCAAGAAAAGTATAGTTGTAAACAAGTATACAAAATATATTATCACTATGGAATAAACTATATAGTCACATACATAATACGTACATGCTCTCTAAAAAGCTTGAAATAAAAGGCACATTTAAAAAAAAAAAAACACGGTTAAAACGTAATTGAAAAACGATAAAATATAAAAAAAAACCCCGACTTAACCAGATTATGTAACAAAAGATAATAAACGTAAAAAAAAAATTATAATGTTGATCTCTCGCGAAGTCGGTCATATAAACAATGGAGAGTAATCAGTTTTCATAGCACAGCCTTCCGATTGAAGATATCCTGTGTTACATTATGTCGTCGTAAAACATCTTCAATAAATATATTCACGTAACTATAAAACTGCAAAACTTTAGCTCATTTAATGGGAGCCCAAGTTATGAGAGTTCAAAAAACCACGTAGCGCTTCGAAAATAGGTAGAAAGGCCTGGCCCCAGATATAGAGATATATAGAAGAAACTTAAGGTAAATATATTCTTCTTAAAAGTTTAGCAACAAAACAGGAACTTTTATGAGTTGTAGAAACTAAGTCTTACATTATCTATTTCTTAAAACATAAATTAAATTAAAATATACTCGTGAGTCAGACTGGGGACCTTCAGTAGTAGGACAAATTCAGAGAAAACCGGACGGATAGCAGCCCTAGTCTTAGTTAACGTTTGATTATTTGGGAAATAAACCCTTTTAAAAAAAAAGTTGAACTGACTTCAAAGAACACCGACAAAGAGCACTAAAAATAAAAAAATAATTACAAATCTAAGTAAAAAACTATAATAAGTACCCTCAATGTAACAGGTAACATTATAATACCAATAGTCCCTTCTAGTCTGTTTGAAGTCGGTGCCAAGCTCGATGGACAATAAGTAATACTGGTCTATGTCAGCTTTGAGAATACCCTTTCGATTACAAAAAGAATTTTGAAAATCAGTCCACAATTGACGGAGAAATCGCGTAACAAACATACATAAAAAATAAAAAAATACAGATGAATTGAGAACCTCCTCTTTTGTGTTTTGGAAGTCGGTTAAAAATGTAAACAGACCTACAGTATGTTTTGCAGCTTAACAATTAAGCGTATTATGTACAAAACAAAAAAGAGTTTAAAAAAAATGTACTACTATTTTTTTTGTCCAACTTAAATATGTCCAGATGTACCTTTATATGAAACTAAGTGAATTAGCATTAAAGTAGTACATAACAGTTTCAACATGATTGTTTGAGCTAAATATGTTTGTACAAACACAGCTAAATGAAATAACGAATTGTAATAATTTTATATTATATAATAATAAATATATATAAATCATATTGATAATTGTGACCAATGCATACTGTAAAATGGGTTTAAAATGCCAAGTTTCGACTTAGACTTACAACTTTATGACACATTAGTCTCTCCAGTATTAAAAAAATAGTGATCTTCTATATGTATACATATCTCAGAACTCACACATATAGTGCACATTCAATAAATGGATTTGTTTAAAACAAATTGTATGTTTATACTATAATCAATTGATGCTACTAGTCTGAAGAGGAAAGGTGGCAACACAAAACTAATTATGGGGATAGAATGATGACACCATTAAGTTAAAACAAAATTTTCAACTGTATGTATTCAAAACACAAGAGAAAATTAAAGAGAGATGACAACTAATTAGATGAGTATGTTACAATAAAGAACTCCTTTGTTAATGTTAAATATTATGAGTTTATTTCAAAAGCTTGCTATTCTATTTTTTTATTATTCTTCTAATAATTTATTTTCATTGTGGCAGTTGATAAAACCTGTTTCTTTAATAATTTCTTAAAATATTTTAATTGATTTTATGTGAAGGAGAAGTTTCATTATAATAATAATATTGTACCCCATTCACACAACCCCATCTAGTCCCAAACTAAGAAGAGCTTGTACTATGGGTACTAGACAACTGATATAAATACATATATACTTTTTTTTTGTAAATACATACTTATTATACATAGAAACACCCAGACCAAATCAAACATTAAATGTTCATGCACACAAATGTTTGACTTGGGCGGGAATCGAACCCGCGACCTTTGGAATAGTCCGTTACACAAACCACTACGCCATTCGGTCATTTTCCATTCATTAGAAAAGGAGTAAATATATGGGAGTTGAATGGAATGTATTATAGGCTTAATACTGATTAAAAATAGTTAATATTGTTTTTTAAGTATACAGTAGAAACATTTGTTTACACAACTACATACAATGCCTACATTAACTAACTAGACAATACTAACTCAACAAACAGACATTGCCCCTATTTGGGATTTCATATTACATGTGAAAACCCTTGTCTCCCCTGCCTGCAGATATTCTTGGGGAAGAATTGGATCTGTATAGATATCTTCTACCTGGACCACTCTGCAGTCATGCAAATTTAATTTAAGAGTATCTTATGTCCTTTATCATCTACCCTAGTGTAAAATATATTTATTTAATTTTATATATCAAAGTACCCCTCCTGCATATACATAATATGAGACAGACTTAATGTCATAGAGAGATGTGTGTGGCACGTGTAAAATTAAACCTAAAAAGTAATATAATACATAATATAACCTACATATAGTTGACACAACTGATACAATTGATTGATTGATAATCAATTGGTTTATTTTACTATACATACATACTATACATTGTGTTGTGTTATATTGGTGGTAGTGGTTAATAATTGGCTAAGAAATAATCTACTCATATTAAACAATACCAAAACCAAAGTAGTTGATTTCTCTATCCGCTCCCCAAATCTGTTAGACACTTCCCTACAAATGACCTTCAACCTGCCTGATAATGCTCCTGGTAGTGACTCATATTTCATAGAAAAAGTTACTTCTATTAAATATCTAGGTATGTATATTGATAATAACCTAACTTTAAAAAATCATATTAATTATATCTCAAGTAGAGTACGCAAACTTATCTATATGTTTAAAGAACTTAAACACTCTGCTAATGCTCATGTATTGAAAATGGTCTATACAGGTCTATGTCAATCCATCTTAAATTATTACATTACCACATGGGGTGGTGCAGCTAAATCTCACACCTTGCAGATAGAGCATGCACAAGAGCTGTGCTAAGGGTTTGCTGTTTCAAGCCTAGCTACCGTTCTCAAACTTACTACACCTCTGATAATACTCGTCGTAAACGTATAGAGGCCTTATCATTGCATGTTAAAACTTCATTGAGCTGTAGGTTCTTTATTCTTCTAGGGCCTTACATGTATAAAAAGTTGCACAAAATTTTGTCCCTATATAGTCTAAATACGTACCAATGTAAAGCCATCATCTCAGAATGGCTCTTAAAGCAATCATATAAGGAGACGGAAGACCTATTAATGATCCTACAGTGACACACTGGCACATCCATTCCATATCAAACACTTACACATGCAAAGTAAGTAGTGTACATATATCATAAACGAACTGGTGAGCACACATATGTAAGTCTAATGGATATGTCATATGACTGACCCAATCCCAAGACCATGGCGTAGGGCTAGCAGATATAGCGCATATACTCATTCACAACTCCAATCACACTTTATAATGCACACACGTAAATAGAATTATGAGAAACAAACACACTGGGAATTAAATTGGAATAAGATCATGATCATTGTCCGTGTGGTGACGGATTAAGAATACAGAGTGTCACCACCCCTATTCATCGAGTGGGTGTCGTAAGAGGCGACTAAGGGAGCAAACTACGCAGGACAACAGCACTGCAGAGAGAAGGAAAACTTGAAACAAACCCTATACCAACCTGTCTGGCCAGCGTGGTATAGTAGGCCAAAACCTCCTTCCTAAGGAGAGGCCTATGTCCAGCAGTTGACTAGTAAAGGCTGTTGATGTGAAGATCATTTATATAGTAATAATATTTATATTTTGTTTTTTGGTGACAATATCTATATAAAAGTTGTCTGTAAGAAATCACAGTGAGTGATAAGACCGCCTATTGTTATACCTAAATGTATTTAATATCTGCACAAATAATACTGCAGTAGTGTACAATAAAGAGATAAATAAATAAAAATATTCTAAAAAAGGCCATACTTTAAAACTTTTACTTATTTCCTAAAAAATGACTATTTTAATCATTAACATTGGGTAAAACATAAATAAATACTTTTTATCTTAAACTTGTATGCACAATAGAAAAATAATAAATATTTAGAAATTCAGAAAGAGATTTTGGGTTCTAGGTAAACTAGCTGGCAGATTCCTATATCATAAAGAAAAACCTTTTGTGTAAAAACTAAGTTATCCTTGAACAAATCTGTCTTACATCGGTCCTGGTAACAAAGGAAAATACGATGTTCATGGTTTAACAGTGCATTGTTATTAAAATGGATGGAAATATCAGAAATCAGAATTGTAATTAGATTACAAACTCCTTTGTTTACTATGACGCGCACATAAGGCATTAGCACGATCATGAAATTGTCTAAATTTTTATTTAAATATTACCCACATTCGTTATTTTAATCACCCTTCGATTTAAAATACACAGTACAGCTAGCCATCAAACATTACTAGTAGGATGTCGATACAAAAAGAAAGATGACCTTTTGTTGAAATAAATAATGTCTATAAAATGAGCATAATGGAACTGAAATCAATACTCAGTTTTCCCTACAAATAATATAAAAATACTTACTTTCTTCTGAAGTCCCGTAGTACCGAAAAAAAGACACAAAACAGTCCGCTAGCTTATAATCGACACATTCTGTGTACCTCGAATAAGACGCAGAATAAATCACTAAGTCAGCTCATTTATCGCGAGTGATGTTTGACAAAACTTCAAATCGATTAATTTTTCTACTCTACAGGAATTTAAAAAAATGTTAATTATTCACATTCAGTTCACAAAATGCCACGACCTGGAGATGAAATAACACTATTTAATTTTGATGCATATTGATTTTCACCGATTTTCAAGCCCTTTGAGAACAAAAACAGCTGGTTACTCATTTATGTTTTTTTCTGCCACATACAGCGAAGTAAGCACATGCATAGTGTATCAAAGACACTTTCATGTTGAAAACCGGATAAATTCGGATTAGTTTCGGTTTTGTTTCAGAAAGTTAAATGAAAAGTAATTATACTGTATTGCATTGCATAAAATAAAATGGAAAATAAATCATGTACTAATAAAAAATCCTGTCATTACAAAGTGATATTGCGTTTATCGAAATACTCTTCCTTGACCTATTAATAGATTTAATACAAAACGTTTTGAAACACACCATAATTACATCACATGTGGTTGAAAATCAGATTGTATTTATAGAACAGATGTTATATATATTATGGTGTATTGTACTTGGTGTATAGTAGGTTGACGAGAGGTCACATATTTTACAGTAGATAGATTATTTTAGACATATCTTAATGTTGAACACAGACATCTGATAGTGATTAATTTGGTTAAGTTACATATTCTTGAATAAATAATTTATTTATAGTGTACTAAATGGCTGCTTTGATGAGTCTCTTGAAATAAGATTCGTATGTTATTACTAAACTTCAAATACATTATAAATAAGACAAGGTATCATGTATTATGATGAAAACTATATTTATATGTTATGCATGTATTTATAATGATAAAGATTTTGCTGCTCACACTTTCAATGTTTCTCAGATTCAAAAATTAGGTTTTGCACATATTTAGACTCAAATAAATTCATTAAAGTCTTTAGGTATGTCATAACTTTTATTACTTTCTTCCTCATGAAGTATACTTGTATAATTTTCTTTTTTAGACAGACATAAATTTTTAAGAATTTCTGAAGGTGATGGAACGTCTTTATCTTCTATGGGTATGGATTCAAATAGCGCGTCTATATTGGTATTAAATATTTCATTATTACTATTCGCTTCTAAAATCTGAGTATCACATTTCAGCAAAGTTGAAAATTTATTGTTATCTACATTTTCAGTCATATCGGCTATTAAGGAAAAGTGTTCTGATTCCATGTCTTCTAATGATAACTTCGCTCCCGTACGTACAAGTTCCGCATTAGCTTCCGAGACATCTGTGTAAGACAAATTATTGTGTAGTTTTGATTCCTCTCCTACTATTTTTTCTACTGGATGATCATGTTTCCTTTTCAATTTTTCCACAAGCTCGCCACTTTGTCGTACCACTGTTCCAGGTGGTTGTGCTTGACATTTATGAGTTCTTTGGGATACCTGCGGTATAGAATTTGAAAGTCAAAGTAGGTTATAGCTTTGAATTTGAGAGATATGAAGGGCCCACTTTATAAAGTATGCAAAATATAAAAACAAACATTTCATGAAATTGAATGAATATTTTTTATGTATTCTGCATACAATCATGAATTGCCTGAAAAGAACAATTTTTTTTCAATCAAAAAAACAAAAACAACAGTTCTTCAGGCACTTCTACTTATCAATTTTGATAAAACAAGTAAATTGTTACCAACTTTGTACCGAAAACTCTTTTGACAAGCTGTGCATTTATAGGGCATTACTCCAGTGTGTATACGTCTATGAACTAAATAAGAAACCCGCTGTCGAAAACATTTACCTGTAAAATAAAACGATTGTTATTCAACTTTAATGTACAGACTCTAAATATATTCTTATACTTAGGTACTTCTAACACACTTGCTTACCACATGTTTCACATGAAAAGGGTTTTTCGCCAGTATGAATTCGTTGATGATTGTGCAAAGTTGAAAGTTCTTTAAAAGCTCGTCCGCAATAAGTGCATGTATGTGGTTTCTCATCGTTATGATATAGAAGATGTTTATGATACGACTGTTGAAAGGTAAATGTTTTGTTACATTGTATACAAGCGTAAGGAGTTTCACCTGAAACAGAAAGTCCAAATTTGTATATACGTAACAAAGGAGGCCGTCGAAGATAGTGGGATAATGATAGTTCCAAAAGTATTAAAAACTATTGCATTCGATGTATTGTTGCAAAGTATTATACAGCTAGAAGCACTAAATGTGTGAGTTTCGAATTAGGCCATTTAACAGGTTAAAACTTATTCGTAAAATGCCTTGAAAGCGATCATGAGAGCTTGATTCATTCTCTTTATTACAAAATCAAATTATTCTGTTAGTACGAATTACCTCAAAAACTAACACCAATGATTATTTTAACCTGTATGTAGACGTTTATGCTTCTTCAAGAAGTATTTTGTGGTAAAACATTTACGACAAACTTCACATTGCCATTGCTTATTATCACTTCTTTCTAAACTAGTAGGTTTTTCATCTTGTTGGTCCGACCCGTTGTTTAACTTTTGTATGCTACTATCTGAATTGCAATTTCCCGACAAGAATCCAAAGTGTGCTACCCGTAAATGTACCATGAGAGAACCTCTCATCTTGAAGTTTTTTGGGCACAGGTGACAATTATACCTCGTGAAAGTTTGGTCGCAATTTTCATCAATGTTGTGTATGAGGCATCTGTGCATTCTTAAAATATTTGCGTCAATAAATTGTAGGCCACATATATTACATGTATTATTTGTTTGTATTACTGTTGTTTCAGTTTTTACATACGTTGGTTCACCACCTTGATCTTTTCTAATAGATATATCTAACACGGGAACTGTATTCAATGAAATAACTGGCAACTTAGGAAATATTTTAACAAATTTCACTGGAGTAGTTAGAGGTGAAGTAATTTTATTTTTATTCACACTGTTTTTTTTATTTTTCTGGTTCACCATCAATTCATTATCATCAGACTTAAGTTTACCTTTTGGAACAGCAGTTTCAATATTTTCATGACTTCCTTTTGCTGTTAATATTTTCACATGGCTGAACAAATGTATCGTCAATTTGTCTAAACCATATACTTCATCTTGGCAAATTGGGCACATTATTTTATTAGTCGAAACATAAATTAATCTATCCCTTAACGATTGTACGGAATTGAATGCCCCAGTGTGCGTACAAACTGGACAAGATAATAAAACTTCATCAGCACTCATTCTATATCTATAGATAAATCTACGTCTTCTTCTGGTTAACACTTTTTACTATAAAATGGGTGCAAGTTAATGCAAGCATGAAACTAAAGCTCTCATGAGTTATTTTTAGAAGCTACGTTCTTTAATTTTTGGCATGACTTTTAGATGTATAAAACATCTTAAAACTATGTTTCATTATTTTTTGTGAAATTGTTTTATTATTCGGCGTGTGTGTAATATTTTTTTATAAAGAAACATTTGTACGAAATATGGAAAAACATTTTTTGTACTCTGTAAAATTTTGAAATGCGTAATGTAGATATAAATATTTAATAGTAAAATTAAAAACTTATATATTTTAATGCAAAAAAATGTAATGGTTCTATTGATATTTTAACATTTTAAAATCCGTTTTCATAATTTATCTCGGTAATATTTCGGTTTTATAATTTGCAGTTTAACCTGACTTTGCCATATTTTAAACTAATTACGGTTTTTACCACCCCAAAAGACTCTTGCTTTTGTAGCAGATGTCATTTGTTATTTAAAAAATGGCGCTGAATTTATTTGATTTTGTTGTTGTTTTCGACTCCCTTAGAAACTTATGTCGCTTAGTGACTTTTAATATGATATTGATAAAACATCGTGTTTTACTAAATTAATTTTTGTGGCACTCTTTGGACTTTAATTTTTTATTTACTTCTATAAACTGCAATAATGGGAGAAATATCTAAGACCCCGGGCTACATGGCTCAACTTTTGGAAGCTTTAGGGTGGAACGAAGGAACCAGGATTCCTCTCGCTGATCAAGCCAACCAAGAACTCGAAAACCTACTTATTAACAGGTTAGACAGTCTCCTCCGATTTATTTCAATTGTAACAATTTAAGAATAATATTTTTAAAAAATCTGCAGGCAAAATGAGAAGCAGCGTTTAAAAGAGGCATATATCTTACAAAAGAAAAAATGTGAAGATCTCAATAAATATAAATCTTATGTCTTGACTGAATCACAAGAAAATACTGTAAGTATTTAGGGCACCTTTTCCTTTTAAAGCCAAAATAACTTTTTATAGATATGGTTACTTAAATTTTTTCTTTTCTACTTAGCGTTTGCTATTCGCACATAAGCAGCAATTGGAACAAGAAGTGAAACTCCGTCAGTTATCAATTAACGAAGTTGATCGTCTGGAAAGGAATACTGCAGACTGTCTTAAAGAGAACAAGGATGTTACTACTAGAATTGATAGGTTTCAGAGTATGTAGTTATTACTTTTATAATTGGTGAAGTTTTAATGTGTGGTGGAACCACATCAAAATGTTGTGGTCATGCTACATAGGGTTGAATTGCAACTTTGCTTTTTAGGTTCCATTGCACGCTTATTAAAAAAGGCAGACATATTGAAGACAGAAGTGTGTGGTGAGAGGGGTGCTCTTCAAGAATGGCGAGCAGCACTGGAAAGGAATGCTTGTGATATAACAGCAATAGAACAGTTCACTAAACAGGATACCTCTAAAGCAAAGGTAAAAATGGGTTTGATAAAACTTTGTGACAACTTTTTTTTGCAAGTAAATTTGTGAAATGACATAACAACTCTTTACTTGAAGATTTCAAAGGTTTACTTTAAAATCCCTAAGTTTTATTTGACTAGCTCTGATCATGGTTATGGATAGATTTATAGAAAATATGGCAAATTGTAAAATTAAAATAGTTATGGTTAAAGTTTTAAAAGTGACTAGAGACATGAGAGCTAGTTTTTGAAGCCCCAGAAGTACTGGTAGGTATCAAAAATATTTAGATAGATAGATAGATAGGTACTCTTTACTGCACACCATGGATAGAAGACTTTCAATGCAATATAAACTTCAAAAAAAAAAAGTGGTACAATGGGCGGCCTTATTGTAGTCTGCAATCTCTTACAGGCAACCTTTAGATGGACCATACTGTATAGTAATATGTAGTCTGTGGGGCGCATAATGTAGATTTACATATTCATATACATATCGTCATATATAGCACATAGTTCTTACTGAGATAAATAGTGATCCTTGACGAGTCTCTTAAAAGTACTCACTGACTGTGCCCGCCGCATAGCTTCCGGTAAGAAATTCCATAGGCGTGCTGCTTGTACTGTAAAAGATGTATCAGTAAAAGTTGTGGAGTGTGTTGGAATTTCTAGTGTAAGATTTTCTGATGATAGGAGTTGCAGGATTAAATAAAATATTATATAGTAAGGGAGGATGTTAGTATTCCGGCAAAGCTGAATTGGGAGCCACTTGAGTTTATTACGAAATTCGGAAATATGATCATATTTGCGCAAGCCAAAAATGAATCTTATACAGAAGTTCTAAGGTCTCTCAAGCTTATAGAATTGGTCCTCGTTCGGATCAAGATAGATTAGATTGTGGTACTGGCTAATGAAGTTAATTTCTCTAAATAAAAACACACATGTAACTGCACACATAGACACACATGCACACACAGGTTTAACTGCATCACTCTTATTACTGTAAACTTAGGTTTACTGACAGTGAAAACAATCCACCATGAAGTTTCAGTGAAGAGTCTGTATCATAGTAATCTTCGAGATCACATTGTAGCCAAACCACTGTCGCTACATACTTACACTATTGTCGCGGGGGACTTCACAAACATCCATTGAACTGGCACAAATAACACCCAGACTCAAAACAACAATGAAATGAAAGTGAATAAATGTAACCATTTCTTAAAATATATTGTTAAATTTAAGGCATTGGAGACGAAAAGACAGAAGCTGAAGCTGGAACATGACCGTCTACATGATAGACTTGTACAATTGGTATCCAATCTCAGTGCTGAAGAACGTGCATGCGATAGAATATCTATTCAGGTAATATTCGTATCACATGGCTCGCATAAAATGTTATCGAGAGGAGCGGACGGCAGGCGTTCTCCTCTTCGAGCGCCCGCTGCCAGCATCTTTCGCTGTCCCCGTTTTCGTCCTACCTCTGCGCCCCCGTACTCCGCGGGCGAGGACTGAATTAAACGGTGACTCGCGACTTTAAAAATTTACTATCTGGCCATCAGAGTAAGTAATTTTTCTGCATGAAAGGACCTACCCAAACGCTCATCTACTATGATGTCATTTTTACTTGATCTTAAAGCTTATTTTCTTTAGCTACCGACCGGCGACCGACGGAATCACGCGCACTCAACATGCCGAACGCATGTTGAGTGCGCTTGATTTTGTTTTTCTGCAATCCTACATTTGAAAAGATTTTATTGCATATCCATCAGTTCTTTTTTGGATCTTTCTCCTATGCTTCGTGATTTTTCGATGCCGTAAATTACGTACAATCACGTAAAGTATGATCTAGACTATTGGTCGTATAATAAATGACTAGTAGTCATATGGCGTGTATAGGCATCGATTTATACCTATACGTTTGCCTAATCGCATTCTCCACTCCAGCAAATGTCGGCTCTAGCAACCATTAGTTCGCCTGGAGACATGACCAGCACACTTCCATTTCAGCGTACTGAAGTAATAATAGTGCAAAATAAAAAACTATGTCTAAAGAACTGGAAAAGCTTATTACAATACAAAATATTATTTCGTGTTATATCATTTATATATTCACAATTACAGGTCATGGAAGGAATGGAAGAAAGGAAACAGATGATGACCATGTGGACTGCCGCTGTCGAGAATCTACGACAACGTGACGCAGATATACGACATGTTCGAGAGGTAACTTTTTTATTCTCATTTATTCAGAGATTTTTACCTTACAAAGATCAATTAATTAATTGGCCCGAGCTTTATTGTTTACAAAAACTTAATTAGGTTATTTACTCATTTACAAGTACATATTTCTTAGTTTTCAGCTTTGCATCACTACTTTTCGCAATAGCCATTCTTTTTACACTCCACCAAAAAGTGTACTTCTACCAATTCACAAACTTGGCAATTTCACATTAAATGTAATTCATCCTTAAACTCTTTTCACGTTCTTTTGAAGGACTACGCATTACTAGATACCGAAGCGAACAATGTGGCAGAGAAATGCCGCGAACAGCAGGCATTTTGTGACCAGCAACGCGGCAACAACATGGATGCTAATCGCGAGAATATTGCGTTGGGCCAACAGCTCGCCCAAACGCGCCTGGCACACCAGCGGCTCGTCGATCTTAACACTGCACTCGATGGGGAGGTGATATAGTAGTAGACTTTCACTCTTAATTCCCTTTTCAAACAATTTCGAATAATTTTTAAATTCAATTTCTTACTTGTTATGCCATTTGTAGTACATGGAAAGTGTTTACACTTACGGAGGGCACATGAGGGCATCGTGGCTAAGTACCTAGTAACCGAGTTGCACATTACAAAGTTAAGCAATCCTAGACAGCTCAGTCTATGGATGGGTGACTATTCTTAACACTTCGAGAGCCCTCCATGTCTCGGAGAGCACGTTAGGTCGTCGGTCCCAGCTACCATGCAATCGTAAAGGGTAGGTAGGAGCCCTAAATAGTCTATCTTCGTTATTCGTCGTAATTTCAATATCGCCCAGTACTTGTTGTGGTTGTGGAGGTATGATGGCAGTGGCTTATGCAAAAAAATCGAAGGTCAGCCTTGTCGTAGTAGACTGAAAGCCGACCCCAACCTAGTTTGGGAAAAGGCTCGGAGGATTTTTATATAAAAATAAACATTGTATGTTAATTTCAGTTTGATTTCTTGTAACAGGCCTTATATCCATTTCGATTCCATTGTTGTGTTTTCTTATAATATAGACCATTACTTATAGACATATTATATAATAGGTATATTAGGATATTCCAATGCTTTCTTATTTGTTGTCTTTCTCATTGGCCATTTATAGAGATGTTCATTAACACATGTACATTTTAAATTAATTAATGTTTTTCATGACTGTGGGTAGGTAGGGACTTATTATAATCATATCATATTTTATCATTTACTTGAAGGATGGTTTATTATAAAATACTTTAAAATGTCCAGTTCCAGAGTTTACAACGTGAATTGAGCAGCTTACGAGCCATGTTGGAGAAGCTTCACATTGAAAACAAACACATCTTGGAGGAACAGCGTCGCAAAGATACGTCGTTGGAAGTTGTCAACAATAAGGTGAATCTGATTAGATTGCAACTTCTGAATTTACAAAACCCCCTATGCACACACAACTAAGTTTTTTTTTTATTTAGTCACATTTCACCACATCAGTTTAGTCAAAATCCATAGCCAATAAATAATTTGTAAATATTAAAATATAAAATGCTAAAAATCATTGTTTTTGTTGTTTTAAATCTAAAATATTGATTTTAATTCCAGATCGCAATGTTAAAGGACAAGTTAGTGGATTCTACGGATAAAACGAAAACCTCCGAGAAAAGAGCAAAGGAGCTTGAAGATCTACTTAATGTTAGTAAATATTTTATATATTTACAAGATTCCGCTATTTATCATCATCTCAGTCATAAAATGTTGTATTAAGCGCGTTTCTCCAAAGATACATGATTATCAAACAAAGGGTGCACATACAGTTCCTGCATTATCTGACGGCTTCTGCTACTTTGATGAACTTTGGTCCGTTATCTTTTCATGCAAGATAAACCAAATTATTCTGGCAGCGAGAGTAGCAGTATTGTTATGCACTCACAGGGTGCGCTTCTGCTTATTTAGCTAGATATTTAATTTTAAACGGCAGTAATTTATTCTGATTTCGTTAAACTACCTTGGACACCGTTATTCTGCTAAGATACATTTCTTAACCTTAATTTACAATGTTTGAACTATTGAAAATTTCAGGAAGAGGAGCGTTATGCAACTGCTTTGACTACAAATCAACAAAGATCTATGCACTGCTCTTTCATAGAACAACAGAAGCTTTTAGCACTTAAAAATGAAGAGAAATTATTCCACATGCAACTTAAGGGTTTGTTCTCTTATTTACTTTTGTACATTTTGTGTGATCGTGCTTTGTAATCCTTTAGCTCAATATGTATTAAGTCATTCGTTAGGTTAGTGAATTACACTTTAGCATCACTTACAATTCAAATTAATATTATAAATGCAAATTTGTTTGGCTTTCAAGAGTATGACTAAAGTATTCATTGATCATCATGGAACTTTGCATCCATGTTGTCAGGGGTAAAAGAAAACTTGGCCCGAACGACAGAAAAACAGCTTTTAGATGGTTATTGAGGTTGAGAATCTATTGCCTTTCTAATTGCAATTTCTTAATTAACGTGAGCGAGCCAGCGGGCAAAAGTTAATTTAATTTACTTTTTACTACTTACTCGTCTTTCGTTTAATAATTTACTCATAGTAAAATTATTGCCTCTTCAGCATCCACTGCAGTGATGAGCAAGTTGGACTATAAACAGAAACAGATAGAAAAAAATCTTCAATCTCAGAAAGAAACACTTTATGCTATTGTAAGTTAAAATAGCATTAGTCGTTACATTTTATTGAAACTACTGTAAAATAGTATCTAATGTATTTAAAAAAAAATAGTGTTACCAAGTGGAGACTATTGGAGCTCGAGTTTCTCATATGGAGGGAGCACAAGCCGAGCGTGAATGCTCAGCAGCACTTGTAGAAAAAGAAAACAGGTAAGTAGACCATAAAATATTATGTTACAGTACGTATAGTAATGTGACTGATTAAAGCTGCTTTTGGGTACTAGTTGCAACTTTTAAAACTGATTTTGTTACCTGTTACGCAGTTAGCAGAATGGCAGAAAAAGCAGTCGGCTAGACTGGAAGGACCACTGTCGTGTTGCCAACTATGTCCCTTTTATTGCCCTAGTATTGGAACGTCCCGGGGCTCGAATAATAGTGACTAAGATAAAAGAAAGTCCAGGGCTCCAAGTTTGTTCGCAAACCCGGTATTATTAAGTACGGTTTTAGAAATAAGTTTCACCCCGCCTAGGACAAAAAAAATAGTGATGGTGAGCAAATTAAGATTACACGATGTTTCTCTCTTCGGAACGGAGTCAGTGCGATAACGATTATGGAACGAATCAGTCTATAATTAAAGATATTCTGTCTAAATTTCAGTTGCATGACTAAATATGGCAAAGTAACAGCAATTATTAGTTCTTTTGCATGATTACCTGCAGAAATACGATTATATTTTGGTCAAATTGAAAAGACGCAATGTTGTGTAGACTGAAGGACGTGTGCGCGCTGCACGCGGCGCGCGTTGCGCTGCTGGAGCGGCACTCGGCGCGTCTGCACGACGACATGCGCCGCCTAACCAGGGAGCTGGACCTCAAGAGCGCCACCAACACCAAGCAGGTGATGGACGACGGCTTTACTACCGGTTCCCCACTCTTATCAACTCTAAATATCTCTACTTCATAAAATTATTTTAAATCGTCTATTTATATAGACTCTAAAGCCACTAACGAATCACTCGATTTAAAATTTAACTGCATGAAGCCGTGTGTGTCGTATTCGTCAGTTCTAATTTGTTTCCATTTTTATGTTAAATTATAATTTGACTAACCTCTTGACCTTATCTTTGTTTCTGTACTAACCAATACCGGTAACTACAACGATATCAAATCGATAATAAGGTCAGAATCTAACGATATAAGTAGTGGTTCTGCATTCGATAGTTGTTTAAACAATTCAATCCTCGTAGACATAACAGTAACTGTAAAAGAACTTAAATTGATTCCTCAGCAAAGTCGTCTGAAGTCGTCGATGCTGACAGTGGAGGGGGGCGAGAAGGACCTACAGAGTTCCCGCGAGCATTGGCGGCGCCTGCGCGTGGAAGAGGCGCTCATGCGCCTGCGCGTGGCGCACGCGTCGCGCGCTCTCGCCGGCCTCGACGACACCGGTTTCAACCTCGACGAACAGAGGCTGCACATCGACGCGGTGAGGCGCCACCCTACCTCTTACCTACACTTCCCTTACCCAGATGTTTAATAACCGTTTATTTTTTCATTTTAGGCTATGAACGAACGTCTAGTGGAGATAAATGCGCGTCGTGACATGTTCAATGTGCAGAAGCGCGCCCTCGTAGAAGATTGTGGAAAGTTACGTTCTGAAATTCGAGAACGTGAACAGCGGATAGAACAACTTATCAAGAGGTACACTTTACACGATATAGTTTTTATAGACTAGCTACGCGATTATTTTTCTATTAGAAATTTATTTTACTTGGCTATTGAAAGGTTTTCGTATTATTCGTTTATCTGTGTATGCAGCCATTTCACTAATAAATCGAACACAAAAACAAAATATTAAGAATTAAACACGTCACGCTGCTATCAGTACAAGAAGTGAAGTGACGCACTACGCCTCAGGTCGATTGCCAAAAGCAGTATAAACCGGTTGAAATCAAGCAAAAGACGCTCTAGGCCGACGTGTGACATTATCTATATGCAGTCACACAAATGCAAAGGTTAGCTTAGGCCTCGCGGACTGTCGGAGGCTCTGTTATTTCATGGGCCCCGTCGTGGTCCACCCCCTGGCGCCTCAATCGTGGTCAACTCGGTCCTCGTACCGGTTCGGACCCAGATGAAATATTTATTTATTTATTGAGTCTTCCTGCAAACATATTGCATAAGGCGGACTTAATGCCTCAGGCATTTTCTTCCAGTCAAACCTTTGGGTGTTGCAAAGCTGTGTGTGGCAGGTGTATATTTGGGACAGGTAAAGATGAGTCTCATCTGGCAATGAAGCCATGTTACAATGGCAGAAAAGAACAAATCCTACATATATATAAGTACTAGATATACATACATATAGTTTATACATATAAATATTATAATAAATGACAAAAAATATATACGAGTAATATATTATAATATATATGATATATACTCTTAGGGTGTTATTCTGATGACTCCGTCAACAAGTCTCTATAGAGCTTCCGTACTTTAAGCTTAAAAGTGTATCGGTTAGTGGACATCCTGTTTTCTAGTGGGAGTGTGTTCCAAAGAGTTACAGCTTGAACAGGGAAGGAAGAATGGACCATACTGGAATTATGTGAAGGACAAAGAAGGAGAAGATTGTTGGAAGAGCGAAGAGTTCTGATGACAGAATACCAATATCTCTGCTCTAATCATGAGATTAGAGCAGAGATATTGAAAGTGGGATTTCAAGTAGGTAGGTGAGTTAGATGAGTGGAGAAGAGAGTGTAACACAGTCAGAGCTCTCGAACTGCGGCGCTGTCTTATAGGTAACCATGACAGTTGCGTACGGCAAGCGGATATGTGATCGTATTTTCGCAGGTTGAAAATGAATCGAATGCAATTATTGAGAAGTCGGTCTAATTTATTGAGCAGATCTGCATTCAAGTCGAGATAACACACATCACCATAGTCGATAAGTGGAAAAATTAAACTCTGCACAAGCATCGTCTTCGTTTTTATTGGGAGGAAATTTTTAAGGCGATAGAATCCTCGTAAAATATTCGTAACCCTCTGACTGACACTAGTTACCTGAGTTTGCCAGTTCAGAGTCGCATCGATGTGCAGACCGAGATCCTTGACCGATGTACTAACAGGCAAAACGGTGTCATTAAAGATGATGCCAGTAATATTATCAAGATCAATTCTGCTTGTCATTCTCGGACTTCCTATGATGATCGCTTGGCATTTTGATGGGTTCACCGTTAAACCGAACCTGCAGGACCAGTTTTTTTATGGTCTCTAAGTCTTGATTAATACTATTTACAGCTTCGTCCAAATTTTCTACTCTTGCATGTGAATAGATCTGCAGGTCGTCTGCATACGTGATACGAACGCCGAAGTTCACGGGCCTGATCCTCGACGGGAGGTGGCTCTTCGACGAGCACTTTCGACAGCTTGCTCCAAAGCTGGTCGGCGCTGCGTCTGCCCTAGGGCGACTTTTGCCCAATTTGGGTGGACCCAGCGTCGCGACAAGACGGCTGTACACGGGGGTTATCCGGTCAATGGCACTATACGGTGCACCGGTGTGGGCGGCGGCTCTGACCGCCCAGAATAGGGCACGCCTCTGGCACCCTCAGAGGGTAATGGCGGTCAGAGCCATACGCGGTTACCGCACCGTTTCGACGGAGGTGGCGTGCGCGTTGGCCGGAACTCCCCCGTGGGATTTGGAGGCGGAAGTGCTCGCCGAAGTTTATCGGCCCAGCACACGCTGGCGGTCTGCCCCGGATGGGCGAAGCAGCGCCGGGCCCTCACTGCAGTCATCGGAGTGGATCTCTCCCTACCGGCCATAGTACGCTCCATGGCCGGTAGCGACAGTTGTTTTACCGCGGTCGCAACCTTCTGCGAGGAAGTAATCTCGCAGAAGGAGGCGGCGGAGAAAGCCCGGGAGGACGACCTCCACTCGGACCCGATCCGCCGCCGGCGAACCGGGCGGCGGAGGCGCGCTTTCCTGAGCCTCATGCCGCCCTGAGTGTGGCCGCGGGTGGACGGGGTGGGTTTCCCCTCCACCCGCATTAGTTTGGCCAGCCGCGAGGGGGCGGCGTCCGCGTGTGCCGGACGTCGCCTAAAGAGAGGTTAAAAATTTTTGAGATGGAGCCCGCACCAGGAGCGGGCAGGCGCTAGGAGGGGTCCGGGTGTCTTAATAACAGCGCAGGCGCAGAGTGGCACACCGTGTGGTTTAGTCGGTCCGAGTCCGACACACCACCCCGCCGCAAACCCCGGTGGGGTGACGGTCCGAGGGGATTTCCACACGTTAAAAAAAAAAAAAAAAAGGCCTCGCGGACTGTACAGTTACATAAATATTTTTCTTCATCCGCATCTGAGACGACATAATACTTCTTTGTTTTTGTCACAAAAACTGTTTTGGTTACTCACTTACATATTTAAATCTATACTTGTAGATGTAACTGAAAGTTTAATTGGTAACTTAAACAACATCAGATAAAAATTTGTGATTGAAGATGCTTGCAACTATTTGTAAATTTGTTCTTTTTTATTTCAGATACGATATTTTCATTGGTTCCTTGGGAAAAGACGATTCCGGCCAACAACTTTCCGTAACTTACTTCAAGATAAAGGTAGTTTAATAGTTTAGTTTGACTTTCCCCTTTGTTCAAAGTCAAACTTATGTTGTTGACCATGCTTGCTCTACTGGACTAGTAAACCAAAATAAAATTTAAACCAAATTGTACAATAGAGAAATAAAAAAGAGTTCAGTATCATAATAATTGATGGATCTAACGTGTTTAATTTAATGCAGCGTCTATAACCAACATGACATTTATTAACATTAAGAGGTTAATTAATAATTACTAACAACAATTAATGAGCTGCAGTGGCATTTAAAATGAACGCTGAATTCTTTGGCTCCGTATAGCTGACACGTAAGTAAGAATCGGTAATCATTAAAGTATGCTTACTTTAAAGATGAGGACCGTGTGTGTCTAGGGCTCATTATTTTTTTAATTAGGATTATTCAATTTTATTTATACATTATGAGGTTACTGTATATGTATAATCTTATATGAAAAATGATAATGTAAACAACACATTTGAAATAAATTCTTTTTTATTTGTCAAACAGTTTTATCATCAAAATGCGATGTCTCAAAATTTATTTTGGATTAGCGTTAATGGCATGAGCTGTAAATAAATATCTTATTTCGTTAAAGTATCAAAATTTTTGCAATAAGTGAACTTCGGAATATATTCGCATCGGATATGGATATATAGTGAGAAATGTGTTTGCGGTTGACAGTTTGCTGCTGAACGTGCGGAGTTGCGTGAGCGAGGAGCAGCTTTGGACGCAGATATTGGCCGTCAGGAGAAGGACGTTTCGGCGCTTGAGGCCACCCTTCGAGTGGTACACCATGCGCATAGCCACTTCATGCATCACATCTCACCGTTAAAGGACGACAGTACGCTATTTTCATTACTGCCACCATAATCAAGAATTATTGGCTTTAAGCCAATAATTCTTGATTATGGTGGCAGATTTCCCTACCAGAGATAACTTTGTAACGTAGTGGCTTATTGTTCTGCTTGTGTTCAACAGCACTCTCTAGAACCCAATAGGGTATAGGGAAATAGTGTTGTTACTGCATAGGCGTTTAACGAGTCTTTGGAGAAGTAAAATAAATTCTATAATTTTAATTATATGTAACACATAAATGTCACACATTAGGAAGTATTAAACGATTTTGTTTTAGACCGTACTATCAATTAAGATAATAAAAAAAAATAGATTGAAGTAAATGCAGTGTAAGTGCTTATTAAATATGACCCATGGACTGTCAGCGCCCGAGATCGAGGAGCTGAACAATCTAACGAAGCACTACTACGAGCTGCGCGACGAGCTGAAACTGGTGAATGAGCAGGTGGCGGAGTTAGAGCGGGCAGTCAACGACCTGACCTCGCGCCTCACGCATGTCAGCGACAAGAACAAACAGCTTAACGCGAGATGGTCAGTCATATATAGCTTTATATTTTACATGATTTGACGATTCGCGGAATAAAAGGGACGTATTCTAAAATATGCATTGCGTCAGTACGCATGTACAAGCTAAAGTTCTCAGTCGTGAATTACACGATACGGTGCTAAAATAGCCTTTTTTTAAATTACGTAGTAAAACAATACTTTTATTTTATATACAACAAATATGATGCGGGCATTAGGAAAACATCCTATGTTGCGGTGGACTTTACAAGCATAATAATAAAATTTGCCTGGTGATCAAATTTTGGGCATAACTCATAGCTTTATTTTTTTGTTTTATGTCATTGAGTAATAATTTGACTATGAATTTCAGTTTGTGTAGCCGTATCATGACATGTCCACATATTCACATACTATGAATGAATGTGTGGACATAATACAAATATGTCATATATACAAAGGTACATTTTTTTATATTTTAGAGGGTACTAATAGTAGTCGGTCGAATGCTCTACATTTTAGTTAATTTAGAAGCAATTAAAAAAACGTAATAATGAGCAACATTAATGGGGGCAACAAAACACTCAATGTCTAATATGGAAAGAACGAAGTTGAATTAAGATGACACATAAACAAGTAGCGCTCGAGATCGAAATGCGGAAGCCATTTGCAATACCGTCTTGTTTCGAGACGACCTTCACTAGTCCACTGCTGGACATAAGCCTTTCCTTAGTAAGGAGGTTTTGGCCTAGTAAACCACGCTGGCCAGACGGGTTGGTATAGGCTTTGTTTCAAGTTTTCCTTCTTTTTGCAGTGCTGTTGTCCTGCGTAGTTTACTCCCTTAGTCGGCTCTTACGACACCCACGGGATGAAGAGGGGTGGTGATACTCTGTATTCTTAATCCGTCACCACACAGGAACACTAGCATTTACATTAGCAACTTTGACAAACTATATTTCAGCTCTGAAAAGAAACAAGATTTGGAGAATGCCCGTGACCGAATGCAGCGTCAAGAGGAACGCCTACAGAACGCAAGAGACACCGTCAAGCACAACGCTAAACGGGCGAAAAAACTCGTAGACGGGGTTGATAATTGGCGTATATTTCAGGTAACAGTATGTTGCAAGTTACTGATACGTTTTTCGAGATTGTAGTACATGTATTATTTGATGTATTTGTTATTGTTATCATGTTTTCGGGAATTTATGTGATTATGTAGGTTTAACTATTGTTTCGACCACGTCGGTTTAACTGTGGTCGCAAGTGGAAAAGGTTCTTTATCCACCAGGTATTATTCGATATTTTTAATATTTTAATTTCTAGAAATTACCATGACCCATTTAATTACACACTTTACGATTATTTATTTTATTTCGTAGTTAGATTTTAAATAATATTTAGATTCATAAATAATTTTAATATTTTTGCCTTTGTTGAGCAAATTTGAGAATTATTAACTTATACATGGTTAGTTTTAAATAAAATTAAGACTTCATTTTTGTCTTTCCTCTTTATTAGTCATCTTTATTTCTAGCATTGAACCATGCTTCGTTACACATGCGACGGCCTCAAACAGAACATGTGTTCAGCAAATCTTTCCGTGCTTATTACCAAGTAAGATTACTGGAGGACCAAACTAATTTACGGAGGTCCGCTCAACGACCGGCAATGCACTTGTATCTTGTGCATGTTCGGCGGTATTCACTTACCATCAGATGATTCGGTTGCTCGTTTGCCCCACACTCTCATACACATCTGGACATAGGCCTCTCCTTAGAAAGGAGGTTTTGGCCTACTATACCACGCTGACCGGACGCGTTGGGCTTAAGTTCTCCTTATCTTAGTAGTGCTGTTGTCCTTCGTAGTTGATTCCTTTACTCGTCTACACCGTTAATGCCACGTTAAATTTTTACAAAAAAGATTTGTGCAATGCAGCTTGCGATCTGGTGCCGCGACTACTCGGAAGCCGCGTACAACGTGGTGACGGCGTTGCTGGAGCTGTGCCAGAACTCGCCGCACGTCTGCCCGCGCATGGCCGCGCTGCTGGCCGCCACCGACGTGCAGCGCTACGTGCCTAGGAACCAGAGGCGACTGCTCACCCTCATCAACAAGTCAGTTCAACCACCGTCCCTGAGTTTACGACCAACACTTACAGGGGCATGCGTTCTATGGTCTGCTTTATTATTAAGATGTTTAATCAAATGCCCGCACATAAGCTATGTATAAGTACTGTCTGGTGTCACTATTTGACGCGCCTATTCATCTAACTAGAGGTCAGTGACCCAGACTGCTAAATGAAGGTCGTGGGTAGTATTCCCACTCAGGACAAATAAGAGTGTGATGATCACAATATTATTTTTTCAGTCGGGTTGTAGGTTTGTTTATAATATGTATGTATTTATAGTTCATCCAATCTAAGAGGTATCGTTTGACATTTCATACTTTTCAAGACGAAATAACTTTGTGTATAAACAATTTCAATAACCTTTTCGATAAAACCACGGCTTTATGCAACTATTTTATCACAAGATCTATAATTCTTAATTACATAATTTAAAATTTAATCTTTTAAACAAAACAAAATAACCAATATATACAATTGATAGCTTTTTTTAAGACTTATTTTCAAAGTTACGTGGTTAGGTCCTTTACCGTAGTGTTGCGCCTCAAAAAATTCACTTGTATACGAATGATTGTAAGAATGTATAAATAATTATTAATAACAAGCCGTTTTCAATCCAGGCGTCTTTTAGTATTTAATAATACTTAAATTTCAGTTGACATCCAACTGTCAACGAAAACTCATAAATAAAATTAAAAGTATATAACTTAATGTAATTTTAAATTATTCTTTGTAGATAAAATTTCTCATGTCCAAGACTGAACAAAAAACACAAATATTTTTTTTATCTTTTGGGTTAGGTCAGGTGGTTAGACGGGAGGTGGCTCTTCGACGAGCACTTCCGACAGCTTGCTCCAAAGCTGGTCGGCGCTGCGTCTGCCCTAGGGCGACTTTTGCCCAATTTGGGTGGACCCAGCGTCGCGACAAGGCGGCTGTACACGGGGGTTGTCCGGTCAATGGCACTATACGGTGCACCGGTGTGGGCGGCGGCTCTGACCGCCCAGAATAGGGCACGCCTCTGGCGCCCTCAGAGGGTATTGGCGGTCAGAGCCATACGCGGTTACCGCACCGTGTCGACGGAGGTGGCGTGCGCGTTGGCCGGAACTCCCCCGTGGGATTTGGAGGCGGAAGTGCTCGCCGAAGTCTATCGGCGAGTGGCTGACTTCCGGGCGGAGAGCGGATTTCGCCCTCCGCCCGAGGAATGTGCGCGAGTGGCGCGAAGCCGCTCGCCGAGCCACGATGGCTCGTTGGTCGTTCCGGCTGGAGACTCCACGCGCTGGCTTCGCCGCCGTGGAGGCTCTCCAGCCGGTCATCGCCGAGTGGGCAGGGCGGCAGCACGGGACCCTTACCTTCCGGCTGACGCAGGTGCTTTCCGGGCACAGTTGCTTCCGAAAGTACCTGCACTCGGTCGCTAGGAGGGAACTGAGTCCCGCCTGCCACCACTGCGACTGCAGTGAGGACTCGGCCCAGCACACGCTGGCGGTCTGCCCCGCATGGGCGACGCAGCGCCGGGCCCTCACTGCAGTCATCGGAGTGGATCTCTCGCTACCGGCCGTAGTACGCTCCATGGCCGGTAGCGACAGTTGTTTTACCGCGGTCGCAACCTTCTGCGAGGAAGTAATCTCGCAGAAGGAGGCGGCGGAGAAGGCCCGGGAGGACGACCTCCACTCGGACCCGATCCGCCGCCGGCGAACCGGGCGGCGGAGGCGCGCTTATCACCGCCTCATGTCGCCCTGAGTGTGGCCGCGGGTGGACGGGGTGGGTTTCCCCTCCACCCGCATTAGTTTGGCCAGCCGCGAGGGGGCGGCGTCCGCGTGTGCCGGACGTCGCCTATAAAAAGAGAGGAAAATTTTGAGACGGAGCCCGCAACAGGAGCGGGCCGGCGCTAGGAGGGGTCCGGATGTCTTAATAACAGCTGTTCCCGGATCCCTCCTATTACAGGCGCAGAGTGGCACACCGTGTGGTTTTAGTCGGTCCGAGTCCGACACACCACCCCGCCGCAAACCCCGGTGGGGTGACGGTCCGAGGGGATTTCCAGACGTTAAAAAAAAAGAAAAAAAAAGGTGGTTAGGCTGAAAAGCCCGAAAAAATATCTCTCTCTTTTAAAGTTCTGACAATTACCTACACACGTGTATACACTAAAATTTACTAGTAAACCTAAGATACAATAATATATGGGTTTTTACAGTAACATACATATATATGTAAAACTGTAATCGATTAGTAAATACAAAGAAATGTTACCGAAATATCTTAAGAATCGGAAATTGCAATATTCGATTACTGTGACCCCTCCCTATTCTTCAATCTGCCAGTACTGTCAAACGGTACCTCTTAGATTAGGTGGACTATATAAATATTTAAGTATATTTATCAGCAGTCTGGTTAAGATAGTATAGTACGCGCCAAATAACTCTGCACCAAGGAAGTTGGCTGCGAACCAAATGTTGCGGCAGGTACACTCGCAAACAAACTTAATGAGCATACAAATACATTTTACAAACAAGTAGATAATAACAAAATTCAATTTATTTAATTCAAAATTGTATAATGTATATGTATTTCCGAAAGGATTACGTGAATGTTTTAAATACTAAAGTGGCAAACAAGTAAAACACATATGACTCTAAGTTAAAACTCCGCACTAGTTACACGAGCACGTTTTTACTAAATAGACAAATAAAATAATGTTCAATATTTAGTCAATTAAAGTGGCATATAACTAAATTAATTTATCTGAAGTAATTTCCAGTATATCAGAGTTTTAATAGCAGCAGATCAAAAATGTAGGTAGAGGCATTAACTACATTTATATTTTTGGAACGAAGTTCCTTATCGCGCGTTGTGAGACGGAAAAAAATCTCACGAAAAGTTGTAACGACACTTTTTATGTCAGACATTGAGCGCCATCTATCGAATAGATAGGAAATCATTACTTTTCATCTCAGTATTTATTTTGAATTGTCACTTGTCAGTCATTCAGCGCCATCTATCGAATAGATAGGAAATCATTTCTCAAGGAGATTTTACCAATGTATAAATTGTTTTAATTAGAAACCAACTGAAAAATATGTAGGTAATAGCCGCTTTCATAGATGGCGTTGTAATTAAAATCGTGTCGAATCAGTTTTACTCTATCGTCACAACTTCGTTCCTATCGGGTGTCCCACGACACCACACGGCTTTTTTATACCAGGCGTTCGCAATCCTAGAGCAAATTCACAGGTAATTCCTTCTTTAAGCATATTTTGTTCAGTGCGGACACTCACATCCGTAGCCTCCACAGTTTGTTTAACGGAGATAATTGATTTTTTTAACTCCTTGTAAGGATTCTGCTTTTAAATAGTTCTATAGTACCCACATTAAAACTATTTTTCTGTCCTGCCTTTTGGATACGGACTTTCGTCTTGGTATTTTGAGAAACGGATATAAAGCGTACAATAATAATAACAAACGAAAAAATTAACACAAATAAAACAACAATATCAACAGAAACCATAACAGTTATGTTCAAACCAGTACGTTAGAGTAAAGCAGTGTCATGCGTTAGAGCGAGATACACGACTGACGTTGCAGCAGTGAACCGCACCGGCGTCCACGTGAGTCCCCTTAAGATACACAGGATCCTGTGATAAGAACTTCGTTGCCGCAGGGTTTTTTCACGCGTATTACAGAGGCTCTGCTTAGTTTGGGATCAGACTGGACTGGACAACACGTGTGCGTCAACGTGTGTGAGATGTGTGAAGTTATATGTACTATTATTTTTCAGTCCCCGCAGTATCATGTCTCATAAAAGCTCTGGTTCTAAGGGCCTTATGCCCGGTTTCTGAAGTTCCCAGTTATACTCTCATTAGTTATTGATACAATAAAGTTATGTATAGGATAAACGTCGGTTAACTGTCACTGCGTTTCTGAACACGCAATGAACCGTTCAATAACTATCAAACAGATAAGCAGTTCCATAAAAACAGCAAACAGCAGTTCCATAAACAGACCCATCTAACGGCAGTTCCATCTGCCGTTAGATGGGTCTGTTTAAGAGATCAAGTTTAAAATTGGTTTTATTATTTTAATTCAGGATTATTAATTTATTACTAGCTTTATTTACGAGAACATTTTATTCAAGGGTAAATAAGTATTGTTTTAGTTATAAATTATTAAAATTAGCTATTTATCAGCGGATGAATGAACGACATCGTAGTCAATTTTTTTTTTAAATAAACGTCAAACTCATTGATGTCAAAAAAAAAGTTTCGTCTAGTTTCATCGTGGTATTATTTTTCTTTGCTTTTACCGTGGTCTTTGCTATCGTTTGTGCTTTATCTTTTCTTAAAAAATTGTGCCTTTACTTCTCTCAGGTCTTCATTTGGCATACGTATGTAACTCCTAGCTAGCTTTGCTATTTCCTTGCTCACTTTATAAACCACTCTTGACACAGTGGTTTTGTGAACGTTAATGTCATCACCAATGACTACTTGGAAAGTACCTGTAGCATAAAATCGTAATGCTATGAAGATTTGTTCCAACACAGACAATGTATATGTGCGATCCATAGCGGGAGCTAGATCAGGGCTGTTAATATTACTTAGGTGTATCACAGTGTTCTTGTCAAAGCGATATCTTAATTTAAATTCTTCATCCGTAAACATTTCGAAAGGATTTCTCCTACGTCTTAAGTTTCTAGGTACTGAAATATTAGAAATAAACTCCAATACTTCCAAATCAGACTCTGATGAGCTGCTCGTATTCATTACGTTAATTTTAATATTAAGTTTTCACTGACAATTTAATAATAACAGTTATAACCTAAAAGTTTATGTAATTTGCTTGAAGCAAAACGTCAAATAAAGTTATGAAATCGCTAAACGGCACACATTGGTCAGTTAAGTTAACCTAAGTTTAAACGGAGTTTATCTTACATTGCGATGTTCAGAAACGCACTTTCTTAGGTTATCGAACCAATAGCGCTAATGAATAGATAAACTGCCGTTAAAAGTTCCTCAGAAACCGGGCATTAGTGTAATGTTTTATTCCTTGTTTGTTATTCCTCAATAATAATAATACACTATGCAATAATAAATATCTAATAAAAAAATAATCATTAAAGTCTGATCAATAGTTGCAATAATGATCAATGGATTAATTATGATTGTTTTTTTTTGTCAATGATGAAACCCTGCGTGTTAAATTTACAGGGTTATAACTGACATGAGTGCCGCTCAAATCAAGACAGATATAGAAATCCAAGGTAAACTGCAAACTTAACTCTGTGTGCATTTCCATGTAAATAGAAATTAGCGGTTGCCGTCCCCTTTGATGATGAGTACGATACTCATAAGATAAGCCATATTTGCGTTGTAATAAATTACAAAAGCTGGGCGATTGGGGCGAGGTTTTTAGAGAGACATTTGTCGTAATTCTTATGCTTTAGACTAGACATTGATAAGTAATATAGTTTTTTTTAATTTCAGCAATATTATTTTAGTATTAGTTTATGCATAGTTTACAAGCTTGCCGAGGCTTGGCAAACGTCTACAAGCTCCAAGCCTTTAGAAACACCGTTTACACGTTGACGAGTGTGTTAGTGCGTTCTGGACAGGCAAACATAGCAGACGTGGACATGGATTTTTATCTACACAAATAATAAAACTGAAGTGTCTGTTTGTAATGTTGTCAAAGTAATAGGGTTCTTCATGCTCACACGTTTATTTGCACGATACCTATGCCTAAAAACCAGTTTAAATATTTTTTATCTCTGTGTGTTCCGGGTAATCTCCACAACGGCATGACTGATTTTTATAATAATTCACTACCAGGTAGCTGTCTATAATATAAAGAGTAACTTAAGCTATTTCGCCGCTCAGAAAAACCCTATGAAATGTTGCATTGATGTTAAATAGAGCATTGAAACTTAATATTGATTTCCAACTTCTCAACTATTACATCAAACTGAGCATTGGGGAATAAGCACACGTCAACATGTAAATACGTTGCAAGCGCTTGCCGCAAGCTTCCTTTGATCTATGTTCAAAAATTGACACTAGCCCTGATCAACGACAAGCTCATGCAAGCCAAGCAAAACACCCCGTTTACACGCTTGTGTTTGTGAACACCTGTCGAGGTTTGCCAAGCATGTAAACGCTCCATTACGTAAACTGCTGCAGTTTCGTATTAGTGTTTGTACCATCACCCGTCACAGTTTAGCGACCATCAAATTTTCATGCATCTAGCATACATCAATCTTCTACCTGTTTGTTCATAATGATGTTAAAGCATGACGTGGTTCATTTCAGTGATAGAGTCGTCATGTTTTGTGTTTAATAGTAATAAGATACCGCATTCCCTGTTAACTTTTTGCAGAGTCGGTGTTTTCCACATCATCGGAGTCAATCAATAGTGGCGTGAGCATCGCTAGCGGCTTCACGAAACGCCTCGCTGGTTTCCGAAGGCATCTCGCTGTGAAAGTTAAGGAACCCGCGGTATGAAAAATGAAAAAAATAAACAGTATAAATAATAGAACTAGTCATTCTATTTGTAAAGAATAAATATAAGAAGATACGTAAGCATATCTAAAGATGAATTAATCTTCTGTTTTAAAGATTTGAAAGGACCCTATAAAGTTTGACTGATTGAGAACTGGAAGTGACCTTCAAACAAATTAATAAACAGATCTATTTTACTCCCTAAGTATAAAAGATTTCGTGTGTCCTTATTCATATTTTTATTTTTTTCCAGTTTGCCAGCGACATTCCTGAACAAGGTTTGCAATGTTTCTATTCTGTATATGGCATGTTACATATCAACTGTGATCCGAGGACCCTGGTCCTCGAGAATAGATAATAGTAAAATGTCCCGCCTTGAGGTAAAAAAATCATTTTATAATATATTTGTGGCTAAACTATACTAACACCATACAACCTAACACACTTGAAAAGGCTTAGAGTTTTGGTGGGATTCCTCACCAACCTCACCTCACCTCACCTGGTTTAGGTCAAATAAATCAAACCAAATTTATAATTATTTAATTTTATTAGTATTTGGTGATCTTTGATAACAATAAATGGCAGAAAAAGGAAAAATCAAAAATATTATCGAATATTTTTGTTGATGACACCAAAAACGTTTGAGCACGTCATCATCACATCACATCGACAGCGTGTAATAGTCCACTGCTGGACATAGGCCTTTCCTTAGAAAGGAGGTTTTGGCCTACTATACCACGCTGGCAAGACGGGTTGGTATAGGGTTTGTTTCAAGTTTTCTTTATAAACACTGATAGATAATATAGCACTGAAACTTTGCTGGCTAACATAAAACATACTAATCACTCAGAACACTTATATCATTCGAAATATTGTCATAATAAACATATTAATGATTGGATTCTTCAGATAATTTTGATTACCTTGCACGCTTATATTAATCTAAAGCGGGTGGTACGATTATGTCGAAATCTACTCGATTTCTTACTACTTCTTCGTCTACTACTATTACTTCGTGTTAGACTTAGACCTATAACCGAGAAAAACGTTAAACACAGTGGGCCTAAACATGAGGAGTCATGTTGTAACTTTTGTTGCCTTGGGTGTAAAGATTTTTTAACAAAGCATCCTACTCTATATTACTTAGCGCTCTCATAACGATAAATGTATTTAAATAGCCTGCACATAAAAAAAGTTAGAGGTGCTTTTAAAAATCTAAAATAAATTTTACTATGCAGTATTTGTGTGTTTGTATGCAGCTCGACGATCAACAGTATCTCTGCGCGTCATAACCCTCGGGTTAGACGAAACCGTGAAGGCGCTCACCGATGACATGTTAGGGTCCTACCAGTCCCTAAATTGAACTGTTGGCATGGTAGTTGTGACTTATATTAATAATTATATGCTACAACTTATGTTGCATGGGTGGCTAAATGCTTGCTGGTTTATTATGCATTATATATTTCTGCCAAATATTATTTTCGAATTGTCTTAATTTTATAGCATGATAACTGTCGTATTCGTTAGGAATTGAATATAATAACTGTCTAATTGAATATAACATTTATAATCGATCAGCATGTTCATGATTATTCTTAGGTTGACTTACTCTTCAAATTTTATGAATTTAATGTTATAATCTTTTTAGCTAATCTTTAATTATATTTTGAGACTAACTTGAGAGGTGTTTAATAAACATTTAATATCCTTGAGTTTTGTTTTATTTTTTGACGAATTAATACCCAATTTTATATTTAGTTTAGAGGTGATGAATGAAAGTCTTAAATTTTATTAAAACGTCCTTTTAATATTTCCGTGATTTTACATATATTCCGCCACATACTTTTGTCTTCTGACATAAACACTACTGGCAAGAAATAAACTTTAAATAACATACATTCAACACATTATTTTTTGTTTGGTGGGATTTGTCATTTCAATGTTATTGTCATATTATATACAAATTGGGCAATTCACTACAAGCTTCTGAACTCTACTTTAAACTATGTGCTATTCAGTAAAATAAGTACATTCTGTGCTTTTAAACTGCTAAATACTATTACTGAAATATATTCTTTGAAGTTATTTACAACTGAAAGTCTTCTGAAATGATAAACATACACATAACAAAATTAGCATTTGATTAACAGGTATAATATGAATACAGAACTGGTATTCTCAATCCAAGGTAGAGGTATTACATCTGTTAATACTCTAGGCACAAAATTGAAATGACTAAGTAATCCTATGTGAAAATTTGTTACCAAGAAATACCTATGTGATGACCACCTTACACATAATCACATAAAATATATATTTTCTAAATTAGTAAAAGCATCCAACTGTGCCTCAATTTGAAAAATGTTAATTGTCGTGTTTTCCTTAATTTCTGGCAGCCAACTGTTTAAGTCAGCTGCTACATAAAGGTGTGTATATCAGTATATCATAATAGTGCTTATGTGAACTGTGCATTTCAATCTTTGATTTCTACAAGGCCCTGACTTGGATGTAGGCCATAAACTACATGAAGCTATTTAGAGGCCAGACAAAGTAGGTACTAGTTTGACTGTAAGAGATATGATGTGGTTTACACATCAGCAGGTGTCTGGATATTTATGCTCATCTAAATAACTAAAATAAAAATAAAATATTTAATCTTGAATTAAAATATTAAAGTAAAATATATTATAAACAATTTATAATTTAAATGAGCTGTTTCACATAATAAAAACTAAGGAATAGTTATTGTTACACATCTCATTCTAACACTGTTGACCAAAAAACTACATATACATTTCACCATCAATTTAACATCACTACATTGAAATTTTGCTATTCAACAAACAGGACACAATGACTGGAATAAGAGCTACCCAGGCCAAACAGCATTGGAAACTCAATAGTCAGCAAGCTGTGACCCATCGACTTGCACCAGGCAAATCGTTTAACTTGACCTGATTTCACTTCACAATACCATAAAGGCCTTTCACTAATTTCAAACAGTGTTAGAATATCAAAGCGTCATAAGTCAGGGAATCTGAGTGGATCCTCTACATATTCTTCTGGAATAATGAATAGATCAGGTGAAATATCATCACGAAAATCAAACTTCTGAAATGTTATTTTTGCTGTCACTGTGGGCAAAATGGGGATGTCTATTTTCACAGGAAATCCTGAGGGTAACTTCATTGCAACAAACTGTCTTAGTTTAGCAAAATGTTTAAATGGTGCAATCACTTCAAGTACATTTAATAGCATTTCTACACTGAGAGGGAAATCATCGCTCATAGCAATAGTGGCTCGGAAATTTCTAGATGATTCTTTATATACAAGTTCTCTTCCCAGACTCGGATATTGCCCAGGAGGTGCTGATATGTAAGCTTTGTAGTCTACACAGCTCTCAGGAGGGGGATTTAGTGATGCTCTGCGAGTTTGCTCACCATTCGTGTCTAAATTTTGTGTGTTCCCTTTTGTTAAACTTTCAATAATAGCTTTGTTTTTCTGTAAATCATCAGTCGACAAATGCTCTCGCCTTTTACGTGACTCTAACACTAGACCAGTGATTGTATAAATATCACTTTTATATAAGCCAGCTACAGTTTCTTTACGATCTTCACGAAATATCCAACCAGATTGGGCTCTTGTAAATGAAATACCCTTTGTGGACATTTGAGCAGCCAAAATGTCACTTGACATGAGGATATCTACCTCATCTTCTATTTCAGTTTCAGTTTCTTCATACCGCACTCTTTGGTACACTTTAGCTTTATTATCTAATACAGTGAGAGATTCACTTGGTGGTTTTTCACCTTGGAATATGAAAGAAATATCTCCTCTTTCCCATTTCATATCAGTAAAGTCAACTAATGTTGTATCAAGTCTTATTCCAGAACCGGATTTATATATTTTGCATACATCTGAGGGTAATATTCGGGAAACCAAAGGTACCCATGAATGGAAATCCCATTTTAGCTCCATATAAAAGTCTTGTATCTGAGCAAGAGCCCGAATAAGGTCTGGTCTTCTAAGCTCCATTTGTTCTCGAGCTTGCTGTTTTAACTTGCGAACCAAAGATGATATTGTCTGTCGGTCGCCATAGCTGATAGCTTCAGCCAGAGGCGACCACCCGGCGAGGTTCTTAACTTTGACTGGTGCACCATGCGCGATCAACAGTTGGACGCATTCTTTACGACCTAGCATGACGGCTAGGTGCAGAGCCGTGTTACCGTGTGTGTCTTTGCGAGCAACATCATTGTTTCTTAATAACGAAGACAGTTTGCGGACATCACCAAGAAATACACACTCGTGGAGAGGATAAGCGTCGTCTTCTTCGGTACAATTTGCAATAGACATTTCGCACACACTATTTTTAAATCGTTACACTCATAACTAATTATATAGGAACTTGAAATGGAAATAATTTGTATTGTAATCTAATCATAGAGATAATACATCAGCCTCATAACTTGATAAACTCAGCTGTGATGATTAGAATTCCACTATATGTAAAAACATTCGTATTTCTGCAACCATAATATTTACTATTATATACTGTATTCTAAACAAATTCGTTATTTTCTTTCTTTTGCAAAAATTAATGTGTCCATCATCGTTTTGAAGTTCTGTTCCATGTTACTGAAGAAAATATACAGTATAAATTTGAGACATCTCTTATGCTATCGCTTTTACTCCTATTAAAAAAGTAATACTGCTATTCTGCTGTCACTTAACGTAATGCTTAAGATCTTTCTCAGCTAGAACGTTCCAATGAGGCGTAGATATTTTTATATTTACGTACATCAAATTTTATTTGGACTTAAAATCCTGCTTTTTTACCTTTTTTCCTGCATAAAAAAGAATGAAAAAAAAACCAGTTAAACAAGTTAGTATTAATTAAGCACCAATCGACTGTCTTCTTCGGCCGAATTCTGATTACTGTTAAGTGACTAAAAAGTACTAGGCCTTATCGTAAAACGAATAGATAACACCTCATCGTATTCTTGGAGTGGAAAGTAATATATAAATATGGCAGGCAAAACTCTCCACCACCTTTTTTTGGTTTTACCGAAGAGCGTGCCGATCTTTCGTCGGGCTACTGACTTAAGTTACCCAAGAAATATATGAAGATTAGAAAACTATACTGTCTATGTATTATTACGATAATTCTTAATTATGTGTACCTACAATAAGGCGTTTACGACCAGTAAACGTGAAGTCCTGTTATATTTCTTGACTTAGCATGGCCGGTTGCACAATTTTCTGAATATCAGTCAGATATTTCACGCTCGATCGAGTCCCTCGGCAAATAACGCCGACGAATATTGTCCATCCATATCATATGCAGGTACCTACTTCAGTTGCCACCGAACCGTTGAGGATGTTGGTCAATATGTGAAACATATCATCATTACCTGGTTTTCCATAATTTTACTTGGGATGGCCAAAATTTGTATCATAGTAAAAGTTTTGGCTGATTTTTTTTATAAGTTACTTAAGGAAGTAAATTGGGGAAAGGAAACGGATAGGACAAGAATACCGCAGATCTAGAATAAGAAAATAATACTAACAGTACCTACTGTTGGGTACTGGTGTCTACATCCGTACGTCCATACTTAGAAGCTACTAGGCACGGACATCAACTGGCCAACTGGCTAGTGGCATTTTTTATAAAAATTTGATTATGAACATTCCTCAAAGTATTTCGATTATGATTAGTAATTAAAATAGTCCGTTTCCGTCAGGAGGATCAATTATAATCAGATTTTTTTTAAATAGTGATTATACAAGTTTTTAACAAGCTAAATTTTATATTTAGATATGAAAGTAAGTACCTACCAGAAACTGCGTTTTGTTTTAACGAGTTGTAGAAACAGCATTAACGAACTATGGTAATAATTTGTGGTTATCGTCATGATCACCATTAATTAATCTAAAAGGTATGAAAGCATAAAAAAAACAAACTTAAATTCAATACCTATGTATTTTTATAACACTGATTAGGATTCTGTACCTAATGCAATCATTAATAATCTTTTATTATATTTCAAAGAATTATAGGTGGTCACGTAGAATTTAAAGATACAACATTCGTGCGATGCGTGAATTTGCTACCTTGGTATTAGAAAATATATTTGAATTCAATTTTAAAAATAAACAACAGAAATCCTTGAAGACAATATTTACCATCTATCTGTAATAATGACATGTGTAATATATATTTTACTCAAAATTTAAAACAAAAAACCGTCGCCACCTAAGAACGCTAATAGAAGCAGTGGATAAAGTATATCTCTGTCGTTATCGCGGCTCTTTATTATAATAGGTTGTCCAGGAAAACCTGGTGGGCCCATATCATAATATCCAGGATAACATGCTATCATAGATACCTGAAAGAAATAAAATAGTGTAATATTTTACTTGGTTATGACTTAAAGGTTTACATTCATAAATTCAAATATGACTTGTATAGACCGATTTGATTTAATTTATTTGTTCAAACATTATTTTATATTTACTACAGGCTCTTATAAAAATGAAACACAAACAAAAACATTAAGATTGTGATAAGACCTATTTCTTAGCGTTAAATGGATTCACCTTGCGGGTGCCGGGTCCATCGCGTACGCGCGCAACAGCACCTAAGACTTGCGCCCCAGGTATAGGTTAAGGGAGTACTCCTTGCAAGGCGTCGGCGCTCACCTTCACTGTCTGCTGTGTTACCCCCTCTACCTAACCATATTTGATACGAGTCCAGAAATGCCGCTTTGGATATTCTTTCAAGGAAAGAGCTTACTGAAGCTCTTGGCAATCCAAGGTCTTTAAGTAGGTTATAGAGGATTTATCTGGTATACCCCTCGCACCCACTTACACGGCATACAATGCAACGACATAACCATTTTTAGTTATTTCGTTAGTTAAGTCAAAGTACTTGTTTCTTTTGAAAGCGTGGTCTTTAGGGATGTTCGTTTCCCACGGCACCGTGAGTTCTACTAGTACTATACGCTTAATTGAAATTTCACAAAGAAATATGTCTGGTCTAAACGCCGAGGCACAGATATCCTCCAGTATTCTGTAATGATTATCATACGTGTCCACTAATAATATCCTGTCAATGGCGGTAGTTATAATTGAGTACGGCTTTTGTGAAGTTTTTTTCAGTCAGTAAGTGCCTAGGTACAGCCGTACCTATTTCCGCACTGCACACACTCCGCACCGCACACCGCATTTTCCCACCTTACCAGGTTGCTTTGATCGGAGAGAGTCAATTGAAAGTCGTTGAGGTAAAATTTTAACAGGGCAGGTGACCAATCGTATAAAAGTGTAAGCCATTTCAAAGCTGGTTGGATACAAAATTGCATGCACCTTGTAGGTCTCGTTTTCATCTTGTTGTTGGAAAGATTTTTTTATCTCTTTGTCGATCAGTCTTCTAGCATTTCCTACTCCAACTTTACTGGACTGCGTACCCACCATGAATTGCTTGTTGAATTAGAGCCTTGACTCGAGTTCTGATGAATTTTTGTCTTTTGGAAGGGATCTAACGATTTCGTCTTGTGATTTTGACAAGACATGCATTTTGGTAACTCTTAGGTATTTGTAGAGTTCCGACGGTCTTTTTATTTTCATTCCAAATTTATTCGAGCCCCTGTACAACGTTGACGGGTCTGCAGATGTTGCTAGCCCGAGCCACGACTTTAATGTCTTAGCGAATTTCGCGTCCTGTGTTTCTAAATAGTTTTAGTTTATATCGTATACCAGAAACGGCCTGTTGAGACGTGACGTTAAGAAGTTGTCGTAAATCTAAGCTTTTTTACGTTACTTATTGGCTGTTGGTCTACCTTGTCAATGTCTTTAACGAAGTCCTCGACTATTGCATTAATAGATGGAGTACGTCCTTTTGTAGCCTATTTTTCTTCCAAGGAATTTACAGCACGGTTTATGATATTATTGAAACACTTTGCCTACCAATAGTAATCCCGGGGCCAGCCCAGACAAAGGCAATAGCATTTGCTAGGTTTTGTCCTCATTCCCTCCATCCAGGTACAGCAGTAGTCCTTGGCACTGCTTCGGGTTACGTGTAGGGATCGCAAGGTCGTCTGCAAATTCTAAGATGGATTCCGTATATTTTCCATTGACCTTAAACCGATAGCCCCACCTGTTTATGTTGTGTGTTGCGATATTTTCTATTAATATATTTATAACTGTATTAAATACTACTGGTGTTAAGCAGCAACCTTGGAACAGCCCTACTCTGTATTCGAAGGGTTTTGTATGTCCTTCTTTTGCTGTGATTACAAATGTTAATTTAAGGTTAAGAAAAGTTATACCATTTCAAGGCAAATACCATGAGCTCGTGTCGTACTGAGCCGAAGGCGTTATCTAAATCTATCTAACAGACTGTAATTTGCTTTTAATTTTCCTAGCATCTTTGTGACTTGCCGCAAGTAATGAGTTATGTTCCAGACATCTAGAGATTCCAGGCATGAACCCTTTCTAATTTGGTCTGAAGTAATTATTGTTGGACATATACTGTATTATTTTTAATTGAAGACAGGAGAAAAATATTTTAGAAATTGTATTGGTAAGGGCTATCGGTCTGATGTCCCTGGGATCTACTACTTCAATTTTCTTAGGAATGAGGACAAAATTAGCCTTACCGGTTGTTGGTATTTCTTTGCTCAACTAGATCTTACCGAATATACTTAGGTGTTTACGCACTGATGGACATTTTTCATATGCTATATATGGTATACCATCAGACCCTGGAGCTGATTTTGAATATTTCTTTCTAATTTGGGTATCTACTTCTTCTAAGGTTTTCAGGTTACAATCAAATTTGAAACGAGGGCTTGTTGGGTTTTATGGACTTGGTCCAGAATAGATCTTCTCATTTCTTGGCACCTCGTATGTAGTTTTATAGTGTTCGTAGATCTGGTCGGCCGTTAGAAGCAGTTGTCCGCGCTTCTCTTTAAATCTACTTCTAGAATATTGGTAAGAGTTTCGATCAAACTCCACTTCACACTTTGCTCTGTTTAAGTTGTCGGTTTTGTAAGCAATTTGTACTGATACTCCTTGAATTAACTTTAATATTGATCTAAAGCCTTGGCCAGTTAGTGGCTCTGCTGGCATTCCGTAGTCGTTTGAGAAGGTCCCTCTTTCTCTTTCTCAATTTGGTCCTTAACTTATTTTCATTTCCTTTATGAGCATAGTGTGTTGCCGGTGATTAGTGCTCGTGGAAATATGTGTTTCGACTTGGCTATTTAGGTCTTGTTTTGCTCAAGGATGTTCTAGGAGAACTGCCAAGGTCTGGTTGTGTGCTTTCCAAGTGGTCTCTTTTAGGGAGGGAATGCTAAGAC